GATATAGCCTGTGACGATATAGAACGCGTAACAGTTTATAGCGCGTGGTGATATAATGCGTGGCGATATAACGCGTGATAATACAACGTATAGCGATATAACACGTGGCGATATAGCCTGTGAAATATAGAATGTGTAGCGATTTATAGCGCGTGGTGATATAATGTATGGCAACATAATGCGTGGCAATATAATGCGATATATCACTGTCGATTATTCTGCCCAATGAAACATTAATAGTACGTGACAGTGGCAATATAATGAAAGTGTATTACGCATCGCTAAGAATATTTTCAAATTATCTTTTAAACACAAAGTACTTGTTCATCTCTTCAGAACTAATTATAGTCTTCTATGTAGTCTAAATACGCTGTCGAGCGAATTCCGTTTCAATGAAAACTGAGTTCGCTAAAGGAGCACCTTCAATCGCTACTTCGCCACAGTTATCCGGTATAGTTCAGTTTGAAGTACCTTCGATATTCGAGGTAATTAATTAACTATGTCAGCCGGATTGTATAAAATTTTGAAACTTGAATATCGGAAGGATTCGTTGTTCAGTTAATGCCACCGTATTGTACGTTTCGAGGAAGGATATGTTTTGCTAATATTTACATATATTACGATATACCGACGCATACAGTGATAAACAAATGTATAATAGTATGAATATTCATGATCGATGAACGATGGACAATCATGAAACGTAAGAGCACCGCGTTTTGCGTATCGCACGATCAATTGATTTGCATTTATGCGTTAGAAATGTAAAAATAAGAGCACTATATTATTCAAAAATACATTGATCACTGGTGACTAACACTTTGAGCTTAATTCAGTCAATTTAAAAAAAAAATTACAATAATGATCTGAAAAGAGATTCAGTTCAAACATTATATTCAAAAATTCATTTATATGATCGTTCAACAAAAGGTTAAAACGAATAAATTTATTTTAAACATAAACAAATATTCAACATCTGAGGTACCCGAACAACTCTTGATTATGCTAGTTTACAATGGAACTTCACTATTCACAAATACCGTAAACATTTCAAAACGGAATGTTTTCTCCGAAACATTCGGTAAGAACACTCGTAAACCTTTTACGGTGGTTCTCCACAGGTACGCCCAAGTAGCGAGATGTTTGCAAAGGGCTAGACCAAGAAAAAAAAGGGTGACTTCCCCTAGGAAGGTTCGCGGACGGTAAAACTAGGCGTAACCCCCTTCAAAAGAATCATCTTACAAGTGTGCAAGCGAATCACGGCGAGGGTCGAGAGGATAAAATGTGGCTGATTTATTTATCGAATCATAAATTACCGGGGTTACAATACGAGGCCGCATGCAAAAGCTCGCGTATCTCGGTGTTCCTTTTCTCTCTGTTACTCTCGGACGACAGATCGAAAACGCGATGAGGGACCGAGGGTGTAAATGTAACGCGTGTTTGTGTTGCGTGCTCGACCGGAAACACGATTTATACGATGCAAATTAAATGTGTATGCTACACACGAGCTGGCCAACATTCGCCCGACATCGAACAACCCTTATCGATCCTACGTATCGTTATTATCAACGATTTCATCGTTGTGTATCTTAAGCTCGTTCCTTATTTCTGCTGTTCTTTTTCAATACATTTCTTCTCAAATAACTTACTTTCATAAATGATGTATAATACATGAAAACAAAGGGAGACGTAATTGAAGCTACCCCTATACTTCATAACCCCAATACAGTTATTGCTGTTGGTTTACCAATAAATTATGAATTTGTATATATATATCTACAACATTGTTAAATTATCGTTAAACCTTTGTTATAGAATTTTATTCATGTTGTGTAAAAATATGACAAAATTATATACCGATAAAAAAGTCGCTTTGCATGTTAAATTAGTGAACGACTGACGATAACCAAGGCATTTATTTGAATGCAAATTCGTCAAGAGTAATGGACACGGTGGTCCCGCGTTTGTGAATGATTATTCTTAATGCTTTAAATACTTACGCGTTCAGGAGTATGGTTTTCGAACCCTTTCCAAGTCGGAATACTGAATGAACTGCGATCCATTTGAAACGCGTGCGGGGGATTCTCCACGGTCTCGTCCACATGTCCTGCAATTAGACACGCAGGATAAAATCACTGTTACCCTCCATCGTTTGCAAGTAATTATTCATTTTTCGCGTCAACAGACTGCTTTGTTCTATTGCGTAATTTAGAACATTTTTCAATACATTAATCGCAAGAAACTGTAGTTCTTCCATTCTAAAAATTTTAATTACTGTGTGGAACATATTTTCAAAACGAAGTCACATAAGGTTCATTAAAACAACTATAAATATATAATTTCAGACAGTTCAATGTTATACAGTTATAACTATAACAGTCACTGTGTGTATTTCTATGAAAAAATTGTTAGCACTTCAAGTCTTAAGATTAAACGATTCTGAACAATTTCAATTTATAAACATTCAAGCTGTATCGTGCTGCACGCAAAATCTTGTTTGGTACTGGTTAGAAAAATCGGCAGAACTGTTCTACCTGCTTGCCCCACAAAAACAGACAATTTATAACACGTTACAAGTACAATTCCTTTTAATATGACCTCGACGAACATCTCCCTGTTACCTAGCTGTGTTGTGACAACGTTTAGGGAACGTTTTGGGGTCTAACATTTATGTACGCTCCCCTTTTTAGCCAGTTTTCATTGTACGAACGAAAACGTATCGGCAACTGACAAATGGGAGATATTAATTTTAACGTACCAGAATTTCACGTGGCATCCGCGTCATGGGATACTGTCCCCAATTGTCGCGTTTGTCCTCCCGTGTTTCTCTCAAAATTCGCTAGATACGTTCGAACAACGATTTTGTAATTAAATACTAAACAGACAATTTCAAGTTCGAGCAGTGACTAATATTTTAACATTCATAAACCATTTCAATTACTAATTTGTCATTTTATTGCTTAACTCATTATTCATATGAATTTTGAACTTTGTCAGCATTTTACTTTTTATGTAGAAATATAGAGAAATAAAAATTGTAGAAATTTTCAAATTGAGAAATTTATATCACTTGACATTTATATGGCGATATAATGCGTGATGATACACTATAACACATAACAATATTATGGTGATATTGTACATATCAATAACATCATAAAGATTAATAACTTTTAACATCGTAAACTGACAAAGCTGCTCTAATTAATTCACCTGAACTAACCGAAAGAATAATTTGAATAATCTATAAAAATAATGTTGCTCCTTGTGACATCAGATGTCTGAATACTTCCGTATAATTGAAAGGATTTCATGATAATTGTCATGTTCGATCGGAGCATCGCATTGCGGAATACAGAAGGTACTTGGTTCGGATCAGAGGTAAGGCAGCGAAATGACACGGACGTATCAGACGGAAATACGTTCGAAGAGGTAGGGCGACATTGGGAATTGAAAAATAGTGCCTTGGGCCGCTGTCGTTCACAGTGATGGCTCCGTGACAGCCAATGTAACGCACGAATTAACGAAATAATTGATTTTCATACCGTTCGGAGTAAGCGACGCGCGCAAAAGACTGAGCGAGCCAGTCGAACCGAGGAGATATTTTCTCGATTTCCTGACCCCAGGTGCATCCACGTAACTGCATCATATATAGACAAAAATTCCACCGTTTTTCGCCTTAGGCCAATTTTTCTTTACATCCGGTAAATACGCGATTTCGTTTTGATTCCGTGCGCGTCTATCATGATCGGGATGTTGATTAAACGCAAACAAATATCTGCGTGTTCAATCTTTTAAACAATTTTAATAAATTTGGAAACTTAACATGTTACACGTTATTTTTTCAAGTGTTCATATCATTCATATTCTACATAACTCTTTAAATTTACGCGTGATTCCTTGAATCCTCGATTGGCTTTATTTGACGATAAACGCATGATTACAGTTTATACCTTAATTTCAATGAACTTATAATTAATTTCAATCGCTCGCTCGTACAAGTGCCCCGCTCTGAGTACAATTTGCCTCGTGACCATAAATATACACATACTCGCTTATCGCCAGGTAAAACGTGTTCTAATTTCTGTGAAATAATTCACAAAACTCAAGTAAATCGGCGTGTCTCGTAACGTTAATAGGTAGAGCGAAGGAGATTATTCGTAGCCGGGTGGATAATATAAGCGGGCGAGCAAGCTGCTATATGGATGGGGGGCCGGTCGAGGAAGGAAACGAAGGCGGAAAGAGAAAGAGAGAGAAAACGGGGAGAGAACAGATTTATATTTGAAATTAGATTAAGCTCCTGCGCTTGAAAGCTATATAAACGCCCCTCTACCCAACAGTGTCGCGTACGTTCCGCGTTCCGCAATCCACTAAGAGGAGAGACTCAATAAACCAACCACTCACTCTTTCTTCCTTCGTCTCCCCCTCCCTCTCCTTCTCTCTCTTCCTTCTCGTTTCATTCTGGCGTATTTCATAGGATTCAACTCTGTTTTTCCATTTTCTCCTATCTCTGTTTTTACCAATAAAACTACCTGCCCGTCTCGTCTTATTTCCTTTGCTTCCATTTCGCAAGGTGCACGATCTTCCTCGTGTACTTTTATTTTCTGCGAAGAAACATAACCATTCGTCCTGTCCTGCTTTGTGTGCCCATCCCACCTGCAAATCCATAGATGTGCTCGTATTCTTTCAAATAGCCGTACGGAACATCAAGATATTTGTGTCTTTACTCGCGCCTTTTATTTTTATCTCGAACGACATCGATTTCCTTCGGTACCTCTTCTATTATTTTTTGCCCATTCGTTTCCACGCTCTCCTACACTCGACTATTTTTTTTTTTTTTCAATTTGCAAATGATCTTTTCTATACACCCTATTGCAAGTAATTCTACACGATGTTATTAGTAAATGAATAGTTATTCCCAAATTTCGCTACTTTACAAACAAAGTTTTAATAAATTAACGATATAAAAATAACCTTCACAAATTGACAAGTAAAAATGTTTACATCTCCGAGATGAAATATCAAATGTTTGATTTAACAGTATGATTAGACATTTAATTGTTAGACATTTAATGTACCGAAACAATAATTGGCTTCACATAGGAGTTTGCAATGCACCTGGTCCTACACCGTACCCGTATCCTTGTGGCCCGAAATTTCGAACGTAACATTCTAAATAGTAAAAGTAGGAAATGAGTCTACAGCTTCGATACTGTGTTGCTAAACAATGGCTGTAAATATATATCCGTTGGCATAATTAGGATTTTTGCATAAAATTGTCACACGTCCATGCGATACATTGCAACACATCCTTCCATACGAGGGTTCAGACCCACCCTAATCTCACACCTAATTACGTCAAGGAATATATCACGAATATACATTTTTAAATAATCAAAAATTAATAAATGTGCGAAAATTTAAAATATACTAACGTTTACAATAAATCTCTCCACAATTTTCTTGATACGTTAAGGGTTCCAAAGGTTTCCTGCAGCAGTAACAGCTGAAGCATATGTTGTGAAACGGTATACCGGATACGATCTTGAATGAAAACCAACGCAGGTTATAAACAAGAATAACTACGATGGTAAAATATGTTCAAAAAAAGAAAGCAACAAAACAGCACAACTAAATTAAAATTTGTTAATTAAATTAGTTATTTACCTTCCAATTCATGCACGCTTATGAAAGCTATTTGTGTTTTCCGAACACAGTCTTCTGTTACACGTTTAAGCGAGTTAATAGAAAATTACAACTCCGCAATTATCCGAGATTACTCAAATTACCTGCATCTCAGCCTGATACACTTTCCGCCCGCAGCGTTGGCAATCGAGACCGCCGCCTAAACACTCGCAACCGGATTTCGGTCGACAACATCCCCCTTCAGCACATTCAGCTCTGTCGGAACTGTAACATCTTCTTCTCATCCGACATGCCGGACTTTTTGGCCTAGAGCACAGCTTAATCTTAGTATTCTTGTGCAAACAGTGTCTGCTTATATACATGTTCATTAACTTTGATGTTAACAATGCATTTTATGTTTTGCTATTTGCTATACTATTTCCCTACAAGACTACTATTTTCTGATACATTCTTATAAACACTAATGATGAAATCGTTGACACGAAAAATCGTTGTCACGGTATACTTGGATATTGAATATCTCTTCGCGATGTACTGAACAGGTACCCGTTATAACTTTACCTTTAAAGTATCAACGATATCGTAATATCCTCACCGACAACAACTCGTGCCAGCACTTGCACAATTTCCACATTTTCGGCCGCAACAACAAATCTGTATGGGAGGACAAGGTCGAGGTGGAGAACAAGGTGAACACGGTCGACAAGGTGGTATGGTGCATGGTCTTGCTGGCATACATGTTTGCCCAGGTTTTCCACAACCACCACGGCAACCACTTCCACAACATCCTCCACTACCACAGGATTGAGACTCTGCTGTGCACGGTTGACGACATCTGATAATCGGTTTCTTGCAGATCGGTCGATCGTTCATCGATGGACAACAACCACGTCTATCGACGCACGGTGACGAGCATGCACAGGCTGTAACAATTGTGCGACATGGTTCTGGTTCTCCTTGAACATAAGATAAACATCTCGTTAATTTAAATGAATAAATCAATGCTTAATCATTGCAAATTACTTTTTGCACAGTGGCAAGTAGTTTCAACAGCTTTTATCGTTCCACATAGAACCTTTGGACGAGGTCCACACGGTCCGCCACATCCTCCCCGCATACGTTCGCTTTCGTCATGACCGTTCGATGAATTTGGACCACTTTGATGAGAGTACGACGCTTCTTCTTTCGATCCATCTTTTTCGTTCATTGTTCTGTACAGGTGCGACTCTGAATTACCGTCGGAGCAATGGTCCTGTCCACGATTGTTCTCGATCTCATTGCATTTGCTCGAAAGGTCTTCTTCGCCGTCGCAACAGTCCGACGTGCTTTTTTCAAAATGTATTCTGCCAGTGTCTTCGGTATGATTTACTTTAAGATTTTCGTATCCGCCGCGGTGTTTACCAACCGGATCGTCCGCTTGCCAAATGTCATATGAGTTACCGTATTCCTCGTTATTATTGTTATTGCAACAGGGCCTATGATGTGCATCCTGCATTTTCATGATGCAATTGTGGTCGTTTCCGCGCGTATCCCCGAAGACGACGTCGCAGACCGTTATAACTTTACCTTTAAAGTATCAACGATATCGTAATATCCTCACCGACAACAACTCGTGCCAGCACTTGCACAATTTCCACATTTTCGGCCGCAACAACAAATCTGTATGGGAGGACAAGGTCGAGGTGGAGAACAAGGTGAACACGGTCGACAAGGTGGTATGGTGCATGGTCTTGCTGGCATACATGTTTGCCCAGGTTTTCCACAACCACCACGGCAACCACTTCCACAACATCCTCCACTACCACAGGATTGAGACTCTGCTGTGCACGGTTGACGACATCTGATAATCGGTTTCTTGCAGATCGGTCGATCGTTCATCGATGGACAACAACCACGTCTATCGACGCACGGTGACGAGCATGCACAGGCTGTAACAATTGTGCGACATGGTTCTGGTTCTCCTTGAACATAAGATAAACATCTCGTTAATTTAAATGAATAAATCAATGCTTAATCATTGCAAATTACTTTTTGCACAGTGGCAAGTAGTTTCAACAGCTTTTATCGTTCCACATAGAACCTTTGGACGAGGTCCACACGGTCCGCCACATCCTCCCCGCATACGTTCGCTTTCGTCATGACCGTTCGATGAATTTGGACCACTTTGATGAGAGTACGACGCTTCTTCTTTCGATCCATCTTTTTCGTTCATTGTTCTGTACAGGTGCGACTCTGAATTACCGTCGGAGCAATGGTCCTGTCCACGATTGTTCTCGATCTCATTGCATTTGCTCGAAAGGTCTTCTTCGCCGTCGCAACAGTCCGACGTGCTTTTTTCAAAATGTATTCTGCCAGTGTCTTCGGTATGATTTACTTTAAGATTTTCGTATCCGCCGCGGTGTTTACCAACCGGATCGTCCGCTTGCCAAATGTCATATGAGTTACCGTATTCCTCGTTATTATTGTTATTGCAACAGGGCCTATGATGTGCATCCTGCATTTTCATGATGCAATTGTGGTCGTTTCCGCGCGTATCCCCGAAGACGACGTCGCAGAACGAGACTCGTCGTCGGGAAGGCAGCGGACTGCGAGGCGGCGGTACCGGCGGATACGCAAATTTTCGTCTTGACGGAATAGTGACGCTATTGGCACTAAATTCGCATACAGGAGCGTATTTGTTAATTTTGTTATTCCGGCTGATAGATGTCTCTCGAGTTTTGTCTGCGCTGGAAATATCTACGCTTAGAAAACCTTATATCGACGATACACTACCCGCGCTGATGTTTTTCACAAATATTAAACGTATAAATAAAGAATTTATAAATAATTATATGTACATGAAAATTGAAAGTCCGATCTATTATATCGGCTGATAGTATTTCAAGTTATCGATATCTTACCGACGGATACAGTGTCCAGAGAAAAATGGTACATACAAATTCAATGCAAACAATAGCCTAATATATCCAATTATTTTTGTGCCTATGGCTAAATATTTCTTCAAAAATAGCTTACAAACATCTGGAAGAATAGGGATACGAAAAATTCAGAAAATTTCGTGTACCTTAACTGAGCCTCTGTAATGATGACTTCATTATTACTAAACGCAGTTTTCAGCTCTGATCGATTGGTTTCTGGTTCCTGCACTTCGGATCGATGGTCTTTCACGGTAGCGCTGTTCTTTTGAGACTCCAACGACACCGTGCTGTTTTAATTCACGAGATATTTCTAATATAATGTCTTGAACGAAATTTCTATTTTTATTTAAGAAAGTTAAACTTAATATAAGTATCAAAGAAAGATAACAAACCTGCGAAGCTTCGAATGCTGCCGATTGTACCATGTAGTCACTGCAGTAGGGCTAGGTGGAGGATCACAAATTGTTGTCATCGAATTGACAATACCTACATTTGCACACTCGTTTTCTAAGAAATGTATTTTTTCTTCGTCAAGACAAATGTTTGTCTCCTCGGCTTCGCTACCTCCACCGCGAAGTCTACACTTGCCGGATTGATAAGGTTGTTCTCTATTTGATGATGTGTTACCGATTGAATCTTCTACCGCGCAGCGATTACAGATCGATTCTTGAGCCGATAACGTTACGGTCGTAGGCAGTTGAGGTGTTCCTTTAATTTCATGACTTGGATTCGAAGGAGACAAACGAACGTAACAATTCTTGCAAAATAATTCACCAAGATAGGTTACCACGTTACAACTATTAAGTAACTTTCGACAATTACCTACAGAGTACAAATAAATGTAAAGTGAAAGAAAACTCGCTCAGCGACCCATCTAAGAGAAAGCCACATACATTAATTGTACTACCAAAAATAAAAAAACAAGGCATTAAAATATAATATTTTTTACAATACTTACAACAAGAGAAACAAAATGTATGCCAAACTTTTCCAAGAGCTAACTTTTCTTCTGCGAAGTAAACCTCGCGGTTACAGCGAGGACAAACTCCAGGCATTTATTAACCAACGTCGTCTACTTCTTGACGCGTTCGAAACCATATGTCATGCAAATTTTGATTTAGATTAATCGAAAAAGTTCACGTAACAATTATTATTTTTTTGCAACAAAATTTTCTTGATTTGCACTACATAAATTCTAATACTTGTCAAACTGCATACTGTAATTATACAAAATATAATAAATTTCACTTATCATTATAGAATACTTATATTAAATTTCTTTAACAAAAAAAATAGAAGCAATTTATGTCTATCCGCCGAAAAGTATCTAAAAATATTATATGTCAAAAGTAGATTAATGAAGAATAAAACAAAACACAAATATTTTAACACGTAAAGAAACAATTTCAAGACTTCAAACCATGAACATTATGTCTACGTTTTATGTACATAATTATTTCATATTAAAACTTGTTCCAAAATATTAACTAATTTGTTTTTGTAATAGTAATAATATTTATCGACCTTATCGTCTCGATAGTAAAAAACAATATTGTTTACTGCAATAATGTGAATTGAAAATAAGTTTATATTTTTCAAAGTCCAAAGTTTATGATTCGCTTCATGTTAACAAACTTACGAAGTCAAACATTGACTGTCATTGCAAACATGATACATTTGTAGCAAACGTCAAGTTACAGCGCAAGTGGCTCTATGATTCAAAGAGGTTAAGAGGGCTGCTTGATAGAAATGGCAGCGATAAAAGGCCTGGGTAGAAATATACCCTATCTGAGGCAACAATTCGCTGCCCTATTAGGAAATACAAGTACAAGCGTGAAATTCATATGCATCGTAGTTTTGTTTTCTTATTGCCTTTCGTTTTCCGCGGAAGCAGTACGTGTTTTGAGTGTAACACCAGGTTACTTATTGCCTCCAGTATTTTGGATATGGACAGCATTTACCTTCTGTTTTCTCGAGATACACTTCTGGGAAGTATGCGTGGACATTGTTACAGTAGGGCTGTGCGGTAAATTGATTGAACCTCTGTGGGGTGCAATGGAAATGATGACTTTCTTCGCTATTGTTAATTTTGGCGTCGCTGTTTTGTCAGCTTTATTTTATTTATTTTTGTATATGTGTACCAGTGATCCAGATTTATTATTTGATATACACATCCATGGACTGACTGGATACATTGCAGGTATACTATGTATAAAGATTAACTTTTACTGCCAAAACTGTAACTGTCGTGTACATATCAAATAAATATTATATCGAGTTGGTGAATATAATATGTAGTTATTCAAAGTATAATTTTAAATGTATATAGCTTTTGCCTTCCAAAATAGGATATGCTTAATCATAGTGAATTTTATATATTATTTTCAATACTTTTTCTAAACAACTGATTTCGTAACTACATTGTCGTAGAATTCTTGATATACAGGAATTGTTTAAATTTGTTATAGGTGTTGCTGTAGCCGTAAAACAAATAATGCCAGATCATATTTTACTTAAAACACCAATTGGAAAATTTACAAATAGGAATATACCATTAATGGTCTGGGTTATGGGAGTGATATTATGGCTTTTTGGATTATTAGAAGGTACTAATCCTACTATGTTTCTCAGTGGCTTACTGATATCATGGGTATACCTAAGATTTTATCAGAAACATAATAATGGTACACGTGGCGATATGGCTGACAATTTTACTTTTGCAAGGTAAATTATTTCATTGTTTTAGATAATTCAAAGTTAAGTCACTCTTTTAAATTTATAATAAATCTGATTACAGTTTCTTCCCAAATGTTTTACAACCACCAATAGCAGTTGTGAGTAACACAATACATAGCTTTTTTGTACGCATTGGAATTTGCAGAAAAGTAGTTAGGAGATTTGATATGTCAAATGCTCCACCTGGTCTGATTATAAATCTTCCTGGTATTGATCCCCATGATAGTGAAAGGAGGAGGTTTGTTTTTCTTTTATACTTTCTGCTAATAAGCTGTGCAGATAGCACAGTATGAAATTACAAAATCTTAAAATTCAATCATAATGTGAAAATTGTTTTTCTTTTTTTTCAATATCACTATATACGAACAATGGTAATTTTCAGGCAAATAGCATTAAAAGCTTTAAGTGAAAGGTTGAGTAAGGATCATACAAAACCGTGGCAGCAAGATCGAGCTAAGAAACATTCTCCAGTTCCTCCTGCAGTTTCAATTCCAATTCCCGAATCTACTACTCCTAAACCGCTTGCGTCCCCTCTCATTCCACAAGTTAGTGTTAACATACATAATCATACCTCTACTAACACGTGATTGCATCAGACAGACTGATTTTACAAAGTAAATGTATAAATACGTTAAGAAACTTCTAAAGAAAATGTTGGTAATGTAACAGCCGTATTAGTAATACAGCAATATTTAATTGGGAAGAAATTTTCAATTGTATATATGTAAAATGTGACTGAGATCATTCGGAAAATTGTTTTAAAAGAAAGAGACTTATCTTTAAAATACATTGAGAAAGTCCAAATTTGTTAATTATTACTCGATAAATCCAAAGAACAAAGTGTAATACTTAAGTGGTGCCTTGGTATTCATAGCTTTTAATGTATCCACCATGTATCCATCATTGAGAGCCAATCCTTAAAAGTATAAACATCGAGTTAATTTGTTCTTTGGTATTATCAAAAAACTAAGTAAATAAGTAAAAAGTTTATTTGTTGTAACTGTGCGATAGTTTAAGATCAGCTAAGATCAGATTTAATAAAAATTTTATAATTAGATAAAGAATAAATTTTTGTTAATTTTTTTTATCCCAATTATGATATATTAATAATGGTACTACATGCATTCTTTAGAAGCTTCTTAAACAATATAAAAGAGATGACAGAATCGATCTTTTTACTTTGTGATGCTATTTTCCAAGAAAATCGTGTTCTTTGTTACTAAGAGCTATAAATGCTATGTAATAGAATACCATCAATCAATAATATATAATTTAAATGTTTTTAATAAAGATCCTGAAGGTTCTGTAATGTTGCATTTATGCAACATTGTTCCGTCTTTAATATTGTTTAGTGATAACTGGAAGAGAAAAATGCATTACTAATATTAATGAACGAAAAATAGACTGGCTTCCAGTACAATATTGTAAAAAAATTTTATTAGTAACAGATTCAAATTTAAAATTAATACGTTCTAGAAAATATTTTTTACCATCAGAACTGTAATTAAAGATTTTATATATTGTAAAATGTAATATATAATACATATGTATATGTATTAAAGTTAAATGCAAATTCTCTTGTTTGAAAATTATAAATTCACCACACGACATTTTTGTAAGATATATAACACATACCTTACTTGTCATTAATTCTTTTTCAAATATGGAAATTTTATGTAGAATTGAAAATTAATATCACGAACGTATAATTTCTTGCATTATGTTTTCGGCAGTGATTATACATACAATTTATGCACTTATAATTTTGAGCTATTTATTAATACATTGAAGGCATATTTCATTAATTTATTGTCATTTTTACTTATTAAAAATGCACAAATGCAGTTAATATATATTTAGATGCTTTTTAGTTACAAATATTTAAAATATTACTCACTCTGTTGGTATTAGTTTTTGTTATATGAATTATAACATGTTTGTTATACTTAAAACAACGCAAAAATCAACAGCTGTGTCACAAACGTATATTACAATTTTTTTGCCATGTATTAATATTTTCAAACAAATTGTTAAATATTAATCAGTGTAGTTTAGGTATAATTGTTTTACAATATACATATATAAAAAGGTGAGCGGAAAATAATTCGTATAAATGTATAACAACATGGATGATATTTGATACATCAATAGGTTGTAAATACAAGGAATGATGCAAACGTGATGGGAGCAAAACACTGTTAAAGGTGTAATAATTACAGATAGATACATCGATACACTCGTAATGAAGTAAGATTAAAAAATTATTTTCATGTATGACACAAAACTGTCTCTTGAGAATGTATATTAATCATATTTTGGCCTTCCACTTGCGAGTATTAAAGAATACTTATAAAAAACTTTTATGTACTTTTATTGTAAGATTTTTAGTCAATTAATATTTATTATAAAGTTGATTAGAACTGAAAAGTGAGAGGCCAAAATTGGGTGTGCGAATAAATGAATATTTGTTAATTTCACTAAATACATTCTAAGAATTTAATAATGTAATAATATTCATTATGTACATGTTATATATAATGAGTTTTGTACATATGTTAAAATCGTTATAGTCTGTACAATATTAAATTCTACTGAAAAAATATATATTTCCTATTTTCCTATACCTGTGGCATATGTATGGTAAAAACTGTCATTTACATCATTAATATTTTATTAATAATATATCTTAAATAATAATACACATTTTAATCTGTATTTTTATACAGATTAAAAGTTAAAATTATTTAAAATGTTCGAAAATTATATACCTAAGTATGGGAAATAAATAAATTTGCTGGTATAATTAAATCAACTTTATTGCTATAGTATTGTATAAGTTTAACCGCTGAGAACAGTAATTATAGTCCTTAAAAAGTATAAAATATTTTAAATTTGATATTCTCTAATAATGGACAACGCATTTGCAAAAATGACATGATGACCATTTTTTAACGCGCATCGTTCCTGCTCTATAATTTCATCACAACCGATACCCACATAAATTTGTAATGGTAATAGCATTATTTTTACCTATAAAATTGTTGCTGATGTTGTGACCATTGAGTTTGTGGTGGTGGAGCTTGTTGTTGAGGAGGTGGTGGACCATACGACGGATCTTGTATATATGTCGTCGGAGATGGCCTTATGGAAGTTGGTGTTGAAGATACATACTGTTGCTGCTGTGGTGGAGGTGGTGGCACGTAAGATACTTGAGCGGGATGTTGTGGTTGTGGATAATATTGTTGTGTTTGAGAAACTGGCGGTGGCACATTATATCCTCCATAATTAACTTGAGGCGGTGGAGCAGGATAATAATGATGACTCTGCTGTGTATGTATGTCATGTGTGGTTATAGCTGTATCTTGAATCGGTACAGTTATAAGATTTGTCCTTAATGGAGCATTATTTGGTGGTGGCGGCGCGGAGTTTTGAGTATAATTTTGCATCGAAATTAATGCCTGCGGCCTATGCTGTCTGTGTTCTACCGGAGGTTGATTGACCATTGAGTTCACTCTGGGATCATTTCCCATTATGGGTTGAACCATATGCGATTGCACTGATTTTATGCGAGGATTTTGCATCGCAACTGATGAAACTTTATTTAACTGTGACTCTATATCCGATTTATGCACATATTGAGAGGGCTCAACTTGCATTCCCTGAACTTGTTGCGGTGGAGCCGATATATGTCGATGATTGATGTGAGCCTGTATTTAAATTATATAATATATTCATGCAGTAAAGATAACGAATAATAAGTAAAGATTAATTAAATTACCTGCAAATCTCTTTGACTAAGATATGTTCTTCTGCAACCTGCATTTCCATATCTAGTTCCTCCATGTGTGCACATAAATACAGTACCCAAGCCAGTTTGTTCAACTCGAGAAACTTTTTCCATGCAACGAGGACAAACTTTATCTTCTCTTTTGGCACAAGATAAGCAAAACACATGCTTACAAGGTATCTGAAATACAAATACAAACTTACTAAAAAAATTAGTTTGCTCTATTCTTCCATATAATTTAATGCAAACATGGCTTTTATCTGTTACACATTTTATAATTGGCAATCAACTAATGATGATCAACTACTACTCTTTCTATGTTCCTCACCATACGTCCATAAATGAGAATTGGTTTTAAACATTTATCACAACAATGTATCATAGGATTCAAAACTTTTTCTCCAATGAGATTAACTCTATGGTCCCATCTTAAACGTAACATTGGTTCAGGAGGGCCTCTGTTAATTGTTGTAAAAGTTGGAGCTTCCAACTGTGATATATCAGCCTCCAAATCAAATTGCTGCTCCAAAGGAGGCTGTTGTGTTGGTGGAGCTTCATGTTCTTCTAATTCAGGTCCAACTCCTTCTGTCGGAGTTTCTTCGACTTGTTGAGGAGTATCTTCTTCGTCACTTTCGATAACCTATTTTAATATGTGTATAATCTTCAATTATGTATAATAATTATTAATTTTAAAAGTTTTTTAATAAATTGACTATAATATTCAATTTATCCTAAAAATCAATTACTCATGCATTAACTCAAAATTCTAGGAGTTTATTAATATTTACCTTAACCTGTTTCTTAGATCTACCCCTTGCACGTCCTCGAGCTCTACCACGAGCTCTACCACGAGTTCTGCCTCTCATTCTTTTACCACCATCTTCCTCCATCACTAAAATTAATTCTCATTATTTCTGAAATAAAAAGCTACTGCTTAATATTTGATAACGGATGGTTTTCTTTAATATAAAAATTAGAAGTAGTATTAGTAGCATACCGATACCTTACTTCTAATACCATGTATCTAACAATAAAATTTTACAAGACAAAAAATTTATTATTACAGTGTAATTTTACATTTTATATGATTATTTTACAGATTATATAATATAATTATATGTGTATTATACAAGATACTGTATAAGTATTATAGAAAATACTAATTGTTAAAGTCTGTGTTAGCTCGAGAGTCCAAATGTAGTGATACTTACTTAATGATGTAGGTTATACCTTGGGTAATGAAAAATGCAATGTGATATCTGTGAGCATATTTGTAATAATAAAAGTATTCACTGAAATATGTGACGTACTAACTAATAAAGTATTCACAAGGATAGTAATACTTTTTTTGAATTATTGAACGATTTAATGTTTCACACTGAAAATGCTCGTTTTTCATACATGAATGAAGGAATGAACTGTTGCTACAACCTTCATTGTAGTCAATTGTAGTAATCCATGTGACGTACTACTGTGGTTACCTTGGAAACGGGTCTATACTATACAAATCTCAAAAGCTTTCAGAAGTGTATATTTAAAACTGTGTACCCTGTACTTTTCTATTACTGTACTTTATAATAATTATTCGCAGTTTGAATATTAGTACTCGACAGTGCACTGCGACAATTTTCATAAAATTACATAAACGATACAAATAAATATAGAATATTGTAAAATGAAAATCATTATGTTTCGTAAATGCAGTTCATTCGCTAATAACCTAAGGTTAGCCACGGTGACAAGCGGTATACACGAGGTCATTTTGAATAATTAATTACACATTTTGTGGATATATTTTGTGCACTTTTATGATTTAAGAATGGTCACCAATGCATTAGTTACATGATTCGATCATAAAAGTTCATAAATAATGTTCGGGTAATGAGTAATTAAATATTTTGTGTCGGCATTCCGATACGTACATGAGCCGCCTATGTAAATTCTATTGCACATGCAAAGTGCAATATTTCGGCACTTTCGCGACGCAGTATGGTTCCTGAGGCATTTAGAAACAAATTTCTATTAGGGTTTGATGCGTTTTGATGTCTAATAAAGCCAGAAAATCAATTTTTATCGAATTCGGTCCAAAACGGTACAGGTGGCGTCATCTAGCGGCGAGCGGCGGAACTACGGAAAACTAAAATTTCGATTTTCTCCGAAATTAGGCAATTTTCCATATTTCTGAGGGTCAGAAATTGTTCTGTGACCTCTCTAGAACCTATATGTTGCCACGAGAATCTCCTCAAAGCGCTAGAAAAGAAAATAAAAAAATAGGTCAAAACATGGACCAAAAAATTGGCGTCCATCTAGCGGTGAAAGTTGGAACTACAGAAATATAAAATGCGATTTTCTCGAAAATTAGCGAACTTTGAGTACTTCTGAGGCTCAGAAAGTGTTATGTGATCGCATTAGAAGCAAAATAATGCAATTAAAGCTTCCTAAAGGCTTTAATAAAGAATATAAAAAAAATGTCATTTTATGGAGAAAATTTGTGGCGCCATCTAGCGGCGAAACTGCGAACTAAACTGAAAAAACGTATGCCCGTATACGCGTTAAGGGAAAATATAAAAAGTAATACTTCACAATTTTGACGACCTAGTATGCTTCTTTAGACATTTTAAAGCAATTTCTGTTGAATAAGTTATTCATTTTTTTTCCTATTAAGCCCAGAAATCAATTTTTATTTGATGCCTTTACTGCGTGTTCGGGCATACGTTTTTTCAGTTTAGTTCGCAGTTTTGCCGCTAGATGGCGCCACAAATTTTCTCCATAAAATGACATTTTTTTCACTTTCTTTATTAAAGCCTTTAGAAAGCTTTTATTGCATTATTTTGCTTCTATTGCGATCACATAACTCTTTCTGAGCCTCAGAAGTACTCAAAGTTCGCTAATTTTCGAGAAAATCGCATTTTTATATTTTTGTAGTTCCAACTTTCACCGCTAGATGGACGCCAATTTTTTGGTCCATGTTTTGACCCATTTTTTTATTTTCTTTTCTAGCGCTCTGTGGAGGTTCTCGTGGCAACATATAGGTTCTAGAGAGTTCACAGAACAATTTCTGACCCTCAGAAATACGTAAAATTGCCTAATTTCGGAGAAAATAGAAGTTTTAGTTTTTCGTAGTTCCGCCGCTCGCCGCTAGATGGCGCCACCTGTACCGTTTTGGACCGAATTCTATAAAAATTGATTTTCTGGCTTTATTAGACATCAAAACGCATCAAACCCTAATAGAAATTTGTTTCTAAATGCCTCAGGAACCATACTGCGTTGCCAAAGTGCCGAGATATTCATTTTTTTATTTTCCTTATTTGCGTGATCAGACCCTCATTTTCTAGGTATAGTTCACCCGTTTCGCCGCTTAATGGACACCAATGTTTTAGTCCATAAACTGCACTATTTGTATATGCAATACTTTGTCGTTTTATATCTTTTGTTATTCTGTCAATAGAATTTTATTATCGTATTTAATTGAATTTAGTGGAAAATGACACGTGGCGCCGTCCAGTGGCACTGTGGCAAACTAATGAAACTACAGTTTCAAAAACGTGTAGTTAACTCTGTTCGCCGGAGAGATGGAGTCACTGGTTCCATTTTCGCGCGAAAATAAGTTTAAATAAAAATGTAGGAATTAGATTTCCAAAATACATCTTATTCAAATCAACCTCTTCACAATAAAAATTTCCTTATTATGATGCTTTGATTAAGAATACAATGTAACATATAGTACATATTATGAAATATTTCAGAGAGATCCTATTTAAGAAAAATGTATAAGGATTGTAAGTGAATTTTTCTTTTTAAAGTAGGGATTGAAACTAAGTAAAATTGATTGTATTTTGAAATATTAATTGAAAGTAAAAGTTTCAAGTAATAAAATAACAATGCTGAATTCAATTGGTTGGCTTAAATTGTTTTATTTATTGGCGAACATCATTACCACTGATTTTCAAGTTGACAGTCGTGCATAGAAAAGAAAAAATAGAATGCGAATACTTACACCAGTCATAAGAAATATATACTTTCGTGTCATAGTATCAGAGAATAATAATAGTATTCGCAGTTCTGTTAAATTTGGGCAATTAATATTAAATACAAAATATATATATATGTGTGTGTGTATATATATATATTTATAGCATTAATATTTTCTCTCTCTCACTCTCACTCACTCATTCGCTCCGTCTCATAATATAATAACACATATTTATTTGTAATATAGATAATCTTTCTTTGATTTTGCAAGGCCAGCATAGAAATCACACTAGAGAATGGTAAACTTAGTCTTTTATTTTTCTAAATTTTAGACAAAGAGACGCTCTTCTTAATCGTTTGTTACGTTATATACATGAAATTTAATTTGCAGTAGTAGAGATGTTTAGATACTTGCACCTAATAATAATGTAACACATTTTCTAAAAATATTCAAATTCTTTTGCATTTTGTCGTCTGCAACATCAGTTTTGTTTGTCGTGTGCGTGTGTATATTCGTTTAAAAGTGACTGCGGTACACATTTATCAAGATGTTAAATATTTCAATTTGTATCATTGAAAAGCTGCTGTATGTATAACGCATGTACCCCGATTTATAAATTTCACGAAACTAAGCATTCAAGTGAGCTATTTTACACCCAGTCTGAAACAACCTTGTAAAAATACATTGATCGTAAAACGTATAAAATATATATGTATATATCGCATGCTTTTTTTTTAAATGACCGTTAAAAACAGTGTTACTGGAAAATGTTCGCAGCAACTTCACCGATTGCTGCACGTACTTTATAGAAGCTTTACTCAGAAGATTTTAGCCAGTGTTACAAACATTATCGTTTTAAACAAGTCAAAGATAAATCGTCGAAAAACAGTAGTTCTGAATTACTTTTAACATTCATGAATTACAATTCACTTGCCGTTCAAATTTGTAAATAACAAGATTTTCGATGTTAAACCAATAAAAGTAATTTAAGAAAATTACGTAGTATCGTATGAACAACACATCAGAAGTTTCTTGTAAATGTGGTACATTCCAAAACGACATAGTATAGGCAGTGATAATCGTAATGTATCTGCAAAGTAGCTGTAAAGGCGTACAAAGAGTTTCTCGAAATTCAACGGCAGAAGAAAAGGATTGTACTCGTAGAAAAAACGTTTGTTCGAGAAAAGTATATACTATTTTATATGCAGATTATAGGGGCAAATATTGTACGAAAAGGAATGTAGAAAACTAAGAGAAGAGATTTTACTACGATAAACTTTGGTATTACATATGAGTGAACTTTCATGTCCCTCTGTCCTTTCTTTTCCGCACATTTTTAATCTTTCTCTGTGGAAAGATAGCCGATTATTTACAAAAAAAAAAGAAAAAGACTGCATAAAGTACAACGATGATTAATAATGGTAATAATAATAATATTAATATTAATAATAATAATAGTAGCAGTAGCAATAGTAATAATAATAATCATAAATCATACTAATACCATCGGTGAAAGATAATAAAAACAAAGTGCGTTAACCAAGCAAATGAAGTACACTTAGTCTACTTTGCGTATTGGTGAACAATCAATGATAATACGTGTCCTATATGTTACTGACACATGAATACGTTTGCGTGCCATTAAACAATTTGGTGCAGCTAAATCATTACAACCGTAAGAACGGCTAAAAAAATCTACCTTATCCTACATTTGCTAACGATATAACCGGAAGATTAACTAACGAGGTTTTCTTTCGTATCTCCTAGAATTGTTTCAGACTAATACTAAAAAACTAGTAATGGTTTTTTCGGTAATATTTACCGTGATAAATACTGTAACTAACGATACATATCCTTGTTTCAATGTGAGACGTCAGAAATATATCGATAAAACACATATTTCTAGAGCCCATAAGCGTGTCAACATTTATACCAATCGCTTTATACTGTTTTATGGGACAATATACAGTTACCTCGTTCTAAAGCAATACGAGAACTGTAACTGTTATTATATATATGTAATACATATATACATATATATACGATCTCAATTTTTGAACATTTATTACAGGTAAAATATGTTATATTAATTTCTGTTTATTTACTCTCAAATTCGGAAATGCTAAGTCTAAAGGCCATTTTACTTTTTATTCTAAAGTATCTACCTATCATAATGACAAGATGCACCTACTTGTTTAAATGATTTTATCATTTTTATTCATTGTGTATCTGCGCACTGTGTGTGATCATTTTACTCGTAATTATATTGACTATTAGAGATTAACTTACATCTATTAATAAATTAATAGATAAATAATAATGATTAAAAGTCAAACAAATACTACTACAAAGTAACAATTAGCGTCTACGCGGTAAATATCGTGAAAGGCGCGTCGCTATAATTATATATCGCAGAATCATCTCTTCTTCTCCTTCCTTTTGCTTTTTCGTTTTTAAATAATCTTCACTGACCCTTTCTCTTATAATATACAGCATTTGTACCCAATTTCTATCTAAAGAAGTTCAATCGTACAGTTGAAAACAAAACTTAAAGCACATTTCAATTGCGCGTTCAAACTCTTCGTAAGATACTTCATCGGATAGTTCTCTTTAATAGAAGCCAATCCGAATAAGCAATTTATACAGAGTTTTCAACTAATTATTACAATCTAATAATTAGATTCAGAAGAATATCTTCAGAAGATCTTTAAACGGTAGACGTTTGCTGATTATTGTTATCCAAAGGAATACTCGTCGAACATTCTTTCAACATAGCTCGCAATCGCAGGATTTCTTTCGAAGCAGCCGCCAGATCGGACTGCAACTGCAACTCCTTTTCTCGTAGACGTTTTATATCGCGTTGGCAAGTCTGCAACAAAAACGGTAATTAAGTAACTGTATATTAACCGTTACTTTGTAGCGAAGTTAAAACATTAGACATAGCTTTTAAATAAAAAGTATGATGATCACTACATTTTTATTCACAATATTTAACACACATGACATCTATGATGACCACAATAAGAGAAGTAACATTTCTCATACTCAACTTACCACATTTTGCCTGAGCAGGTCTAGTTTGTCGCACTTCAACCTGGTAACCTCCATCCTCAAGTTCTCGTTCTCCAACACTCCATCCTTGGTGGTACACCGTGCGGTGTCATGAGTTTCCGCAGAACTCATCGATTCGAGTCCCGTATCGCTGTCCGGATACACAGCTTGGTCCAGTTCGAGTTCGCTGTTCAACGAGCTGTCGTCGCTCTCCGAAATGACGCGTTGCGTCGTCTCTGTCTTCTCCGTCCTCTCCTGCTTCCGCAGGTTCTCGTGAGTCAGTCTCTGAACGGACGACACCGAAGTTTTGTCCGTTAACGTCGTATCGTTGTTGGAGCAAACTGCCGCTATAGATTCTCTGCGATCAACTTCGTCCTGTTGCAAAGTAGCTAAGCTGCTATCCTGATTGTCGGTGTTGGACAAACTGCTGTCCTGGCTTCCCAAACTTGGACTTCCGCGTTCCGAGTCCCTTCGAAGCGTCAGATCAGGGGAACCCAACGGACTCGACGGCTCTACCGAACGTTTGCTGCTGATCTTCGTCGTTGATTGTCGATTGCTGGGCGGACTAGGCTCCGATTGACCTTTCTTCGATAACTGCTGCGGCACGCTCTCCGTGGACGCGTTTCGGACACGCGATATCAGCGCTTTTCTTACGGTGTCGATAAATCTCGAGCCACTTCCGCCGCTACCGGATCCCGAGGCGTCGCTCGCTGTTGGACTTACGGGACAGTTCCCTCCGAATCCCAGGCTACTACCTCCTAAACCGATCGCTCCGCCCAGAAATTCGGCCGTCTTCGCTTGTAATTCCTCCGTCAATGACTCCAGAAGGGCTGACCTCGTTCGTAACTGCCGAAATGAATTCATTAGTATTCACAAGTTTCAGACGTGTTCAAGTTATATAACAGTAGAATTCAGTTAGGTTTCTTAAATATTATTTATGAATTTTTAAACTTCTGGGGTGTCACACAAGTTCAGGTTCTTTAGGTTCATTTTTATGTGACTAGTCTGAAGTTTTGTTTCATTTCTAGGAATTGGTGGATTTGAGGAATTGGATATTAGACATTTTGGAAGTGGATAATTTGGAAGTTCTGGAACTTGGAAGCTGGGAATCTGAAAACGTGGAAGTTTGGAAATTACGATCCTGAAAAAAGAACTTGGGAATCTGGAAGTTTAAAAATTTGAGAAGTTGGAAATGGAAAATGGAAGAATTTAGGAATTTGGAAATTTAGAGCTTTATAAATATGAAGATGGAAGTTTAGGACTTAACAAAATAATTTATAAATTTGTAAATACTTAATTAAGAACTTATTTGTAAATGTTTAATTAGGAACTCAAAAACTGAAGAACTCAGGAATTTGAAAAATTTAAAAACGGTATCTATATAATGTTTCGCATACTAATCAAGAAGTTGTCATAAATAATTGAGTACATTCGGAGAGAGTGCATGTAAATGCAGGACACCGTTGACAACTTTCGATCAGAACAAAAGTGAGTCATGCTGGCATCGTTACGCTTCTTCCGTTTCCCCTAAAAAAACCTCGCTTGTTCGCGAATATACAATTACCTCAAGCTTCGAAAACTTCTCAGCTTTGTACGCAGCGTTTTCAGCGTTCACCAATTTCGTTAGAAGGAATTCCTTGAATTCGACGCCTCTCAAAAACACAGCTGGAGTCGGTAATGCTGGACCAAACCAGGGAACATCGTTTCGCGCTGTGATACTGACTTTGTACCTGCATTTTAAAAAAATTCAACATTTAAATATCCATTAACATTCGCAATTGCATATGTAGCAAATTTTTTAATATGTTGGAGTTACGTTTAAAATGTAAATAACCAAGAAATTCTATTTAATCTTATATAATATTTTAAAAAAATGGAAGCAATGTTGAAATCTTCACATACGAAGTTAGGTTATATAGATATCTATGTAGATATATAGGGTTTATACAGAGATTATACATATAGGCTATATATAAATACTATTATGTGCACAAGTAAACGGATCAAAGTTGCATAGGTGTTACATATTTATTTTTAAAGAACATCAGATGGGTCAGGCGATATTCTTTGATCTTTGAGCAACGCCATCTTTAATTAACGCCATCTTTGATCTTCCGTCCCTTTGAAAGTATGCAACTTTACCTTGGTTTTTCTTTACAGATATTTATACTTATAGAATAAGATAGCACCGGTAAGACACGTATATAAAATAAATATACAGAGTGTTTCTTATATACAGAGAATTACAATCATAAAAAATGATCACGTCACAATTCAAATCTACTAAAGTATTTTATCCAGACACGCCATAATACGGCTATCTAAAAATATTTATTCGAATTTTTCAAAAAAAAAGAAGAAAGAATAAATGCTCGAAGAAAATGAAGTTATCTCTAAGGCTCGCAATAAATCGTGAGTAAAGTTTATACGTTAGTGCAGCCAAGTGGAAACGTTCCAGAGACTATTTTAACCGGATGTTTTGGTTAAACTTGAAAATAGCGATTTCGTAACTGGCGTATTCGAATTTCGCGACCTTACTACATGGATACTGTACGCACGAATTCTAAGAATATACCTGGTATTAGGAGTGCAGGGGTCGACGACTTGTACCACGATAAATGCATGCAAGAAGTGGCTGGCGATCATATCTGGACTGAAAGGAGTTGGCTCCTCTTGGAATATTATCGCGACGATGTCATTGCCGATGTGTCTTTTACGCTGCAATTGCTGGGAGTCCCCTGGACTATACGGGAGCAGAGAAGCGACATGGAAGAGCACTTCGCGCCCTCTAAATACCTCGTACACCGCAGAATCTCCTGTCTGTCCATGTCGAGTATCTAAACCACCGCGGTATCTGTCAACAATCAATACTTCACCGTAAATATTCTTCATATATTATTTTCTCCACAGAAAGTTACGTCTGGTTCAGGATAATATGTTTTATATTCAATTTTATTAAATATTATTGAACAAGGGAAGACTATTCAAGTCAAATGCGATGCTCAAAAGACTAGGTTAAGCTCAGGGTTCTTGAAAAACCTCCACTTAGTTATACAGATAAATTAACCAGTTATTAGCAATTATTGATTTCTAATTCTGAGAGTGCCAATAAGTCCCCAAATTCTAAATTCAAGAATTTGCAAATTTCTAAAATCTCAAAACTTTAAATTTAAAATTCACAAAATTCTAAAGTTTCAAACAGTAAATGAGAGATATCCAAATCACCCAATCCTCAAATCTCCAAAGTTCCAAATCCCCAATCTCCAGTTGCTACATTGTGGAGTTTCCATATTCTAAAATTCCTAAGTTTATAAATTTCCAGATTCTCAGGACCTTAGATCTTTTAATTCTTTAAAGTCTCTAAATCTTCAAATTTCCAAAATTTCCAAGATGTCCTAGAATTTCAAAGAACCTTGAATCTCTAAGTCTTCAATGTTCTAAAGATGTCTAAATATTTAAATGCCAATTTCGTGATTAGCTTAAGTAAATGACTAACCCTTTGTGATCCTTCAAATCGATTTTTTGACCCAACAAATCAAGAAACTCCTGGAAGGCTGGCGTAATCTGTCTGTTCCCAAAAAGTTGCTCCTCAGTCACTTGGCCAGCTCGTTGATGAAGAACACCAAATTTAAACCTCGACACCAAAGCGTGCTCGTCGTACCGTGCTATTAACGTGCCAGCACCGGAACAGACAACAGGCATTAGGGTGCTCACGTTCAAGGATTCGTTGATCGCCTGTAAAAAGAACTACGTCAAACTGTGAACAACATTAACTACTTTATAATTTATTACACTTTAACCCTGGAAATAATACGAGCTGATTTTGCAATTTGATTTATCTATTGTTTCCGTTTCAGTCATCTGTGTTGTGTGTCTTTTTGTTATTTGTCTTTTGTTAATTTTATACATTGTGGAAATTGCCAAGTCCGCAAATTCTCAAAGTCGAAAGTTTCCAAATCTCCAAAATAGTACAAGAACGTTCAGTTTGTAACAAGGAGAGCCCGAGAAAGTTTGCAGATCGCGTTTATTCCATGCTTACAGGCAATTATGAAAACAGAAGGAAGTTCGATCCAACGTGGTTTCAATGAAGAATCTCTTATTGTATAAAGTTCTCATCAACTGTTTGCAAATTATCCGACAATGCACGTATACAAGTTAGCTTTAATCACTCTTAAAGTGCAGGATTAATTTAAATTTTGCTAACTTAAGATAAGAAACCATAATTCAAATTTTCTTACATTTTTATAGTTTCGCATCTTATTCTATTATTAATAAGCATTACTGTTATTCTGAACTTCCCATTATTGACCACTGCGATATATTATAATTGTATAAATGAATAATAAACCATTGTTGTTATTATAGCATCGATAAATTTTACAAAGTGGTTAGGTAAGGTTGAGCCTATGTGTCAAAAATTATTAAAAACGATGGCAAAACATGACTTTAAGTCGAGACACGAAGATCAACTTCGATGACGACAGGTTCCTGTCACGTAGCATTTAGGGTATCTCACTACTCGATCCTTAGAATTTCAAATCAAAAGACGCAATATTACAACCTGTAACGTGGTACAGTCAAATAAACAGACAAATGTATGAATGTAGATCAAGCTTAGGGTGTCATGAGTCTATCCTCAAAATTTCAACTGAAAGGACGCAACATTGCAACCTGTAGCCTGGCACAGTCAAACAGACAAATGTATGAATGTAGATCAAGCTTAGGGTGTCATGAGTCTATCCTCAAAATTTCAACTGAAAAGACCCAACATTGCAACCTGTAGCCTGGCATAGTCAAACAGACAAATGTATGAATGTAGATCAAGTTTAGGGTGTCATGAGTCTATCCTCAAAATTTCAACTGAAAGTACGCAACATTGCAACCTGTAGCCTGGCATAATCAAACAAGTGGACAAACATATGAATGTGAACCAAGTTCTGGGTGTCATGAGTCTATCCTTACAATTTTAATCGAAAGGACCCAAAATTACAACCTGCAACGTGGCACAGTCAAACAAGTGGACAAACATATGAATGTGAACCAAGTTCAGGGTGTCATGAGTCTATCCTTACAATTTTAATCGAAGTGACCCAAAATTACAACCTGCAACGTGGTACAGTCAGACAAACATATGAATGTAGACCAAGTTCAAAGTGTCACGAGTCTATCCTCAAAATTTCACCCGAAAAGACCAAAAATTGCAACCTGCAGCGTGGTACACTCAAACAGATCAAGTCGACCCAACAAAATGAAAAATAACGTTGAAATGAATAGCATGCATCGTTGTATCTCTGTCAAAGAAAGAGAGAGTTACATCACCTTGACCATTTTCGCGGGTGATGGATTTGGACCGAGGTTCACGGCTGGTACCAATTCGTGGGTTGAGCCAGCTCGCAATCGCAATAAGACCCTCCAGTGCTCCTGTCCAGCGACTGTCTCGGCCTTCACCGAGACCAGCACCGGACCGTTCTCTCCGTCTCTACCCACCAGGTTCACGTGCTCCTGCAAAAAACGAAAAAAGACATTCAAGAAAAGGTTAAAGCGAGATGAAACGGAGCGGTCCTTTCTTGCCATCGAAACCGACCGAAGTGCATTGCTCGATACTTGACTTTCATCCAACTGTACATTGAACACGAAATGGAGAGAGTAGTCGTGAATACTAGTAGAACGTGATTAATCGAAATTAATTTATCGTAAAACTTCGTTGAGGGTAGTTCAAGCCCTTAACCTATTTTCTGGGTAGTTACATCATTCGTAGTTAGCTAATTATTGCTACGACGTAAAAAGGCTACCGGAGGAAGTTGTTAGGTACAATATGCACTTGTTTATGCATTTAGGAATCCTTGATGATGCAGATTATGTTCAAAATTCAATTGCAGTGAAAATACGAGTCTGCCATATTCGAACTGTAATGTGCATCACGATGTGTACACGATGTTGTAGAGTAAGTTCCCTTTGAGTTCCATTCTTGGGAGAACGGTCTTTTTTGAAGACATTAATTTTTACAAACCCTTCATTCTATAAATTGCCACGTAAATTATAACAGTAATGTTAATACGTTTTTGGAACATTTTTTACGTTATAAACAAATACTGTACCTGTCATCCTGAAATGAACTCATCAGCTATCAACACAAAATCAACCTGAAACTGTCAAACCTTGAAACCTTGTGAAATTTCCGTGAAACCTTGAAATCTCTGTTGGTTTTCTCAAATCTCCATAGAAGAATTAATTTATGTTTCATCGTATTTATATGTATATATGTATTTAGGATTTTCTTATCCTCGCCGAGTGTGTCATTTCAAATTGCGCTCCTTAATGTATCATTTCAAATTTTAATGCTTCTTTCATTGCATTTTAGATTCTGGAGTACATTCGTAACTCAGGAAAGCGTTGCACCTTGAACGTACCCTCGCAATGAGAACAGGATGCGTGCACGCATGCACGCACAATGAGCCCACAAATCTACACGGTGACGCAACCATCAGGGAACTCCCATTACAACGCAAAAATTCAGAAAAATAGTTGCACGTCGCATGATTCCTGTACAGGCACTTCAATTCTACAATCACTTCACGATTTCTACACGTGTTTGAGATGAATAGCAAGTGTAGAACCGGTGCTCTGTGGCAGTCTACTTGGTACCGTTTACTCTATTTACGTGTCTATTGATCAAGCATTGACGTTAAAACAGTGACGTTAAACGCTTTTTATTCTTCGTTTGCTGATGAATAAGGAGTATAATTACAGATTGACATTTAACAAGTGTGATCATAGATTGATGTTTGTTGACAAGTATAGTTACATATTTTAATGTGATGAGATATTAAAATATCTTTAGCTTAGTGCAACGTGTATTTGGTGATATTTATGAAGCTATATTGGTACTTCAAAAATTCATCTTTAATTTCATATAGAAGCTTCTTCAATTTAAAACGAAGGATATAAAGAGTTTGAATTATTCACAATTTTTTGTTCAGGTATTTTTTACAGAAAGTTTATTTTTTGAGAAACTCTGATTCTGTACAGAAATAGTCATTGGCAGTCAGAATTTGAAATTGTCATTTTTTGTATAGAACACAACTCGCATTCTAATTATATATTCTGTACAATTGTTTACAAACCAAGTTTAATTTTTATAAAATTCTTATATTAACTTTATATGAAACAGAAAAATTCCAGTCTATGTACAGAAACCAATAAGTTACACATAGAATTGTTAGACCTCTGACAGCGTTATTTTTAACCGTGACAATATCGACACAGTATTGCATTTCCTCTTTCTAGCAATTAACACTATTTAATCGAGGATTGCTGACACTCGACCATACGTTCTTTTGATTAGGTTATTTTTACTTTTATTGCGCAGGTCGCGAGAGAATTCAATATCGAACGCACCAATATTAATCAATTTTATTTATCACCTGTAAGCGCACAATTTATTGTTGAAACAAGTTACATTTCACGTGGATTATTTATCAGACAAATTGCTAACAACACAGAATTTTTTTGTGTATCATATTCGCAGTATTGATGACGTTTTTAAATTAACTATATATTATTTGCAACAGCTATTTACATTTATTTCTAACATGTCTCGGTTATTGCAAATTTTATTCTGCTGTATGATTTGTTTCATTTTATTCTGCTGTATGATCGTTTTATTTTATGCAAAATTATCTTCGGTCTTTCGATACGTTCTTTGCACATCTTATCGTTAAAAGAACATATGTATACATATGTATGTGAAGAATGCGTATACATATGTGTACGTGCAAGATGTATACGTAATTCAAATTTTGTTGTATAGTGTCTTTGAATATGTCATAATGTCTTTGCATAGACATTTAATCCTAAATTCACGTACATCATATTTAACTTGAAATTGAATTATAAAAATAAATAAGTAATGCATACATAAACCAGCTTATGCCTTTGTCTCTATAAAGTTTAACATCATTTTAACAAAAACTAATTTTCGTAACTGAAAAAAATCTAAGAGAATTCCATAAATCTTAATTTATCCACGAACAGTATTCCGTCCGAGTACATTCTGTATCTAATATGCATATACGAAATTAGTTTCTGAAAGTTCAATTAAGTTAATTAAAGTGTCGAAGAAAATCACTCTCGCACGACCATCGACTTTATCTTTTTATTGTTTTACTGGTAATTAACTCGGTCGATAGATACGCCTCGGCCGTTGCCGATAAAAGCTATTTTGTCAACGGACATAAAAACTGCTTCTCTTTCTCCAGACTTTCCCTCTCGTGCTGCTCGATTCCGTTAATTCTTGTCTAAGCCTTAGTTTATCGTCCATCACTGACATATTTACGACGGTTCGCTACTACTTATCAAGGCACAGATACTTATAGAAGACAGATAAACGGGGATAAGTAATTGGAGATGGCAGGAACTACGATGAATTTTCTGATCCTTAAAAATGTGCTTGAGACTAGCAATTTTACTTTCTTTTAGAATTATGGAATTGTCAGAAAATGTAAATTGAAAATTAAATTATTGTTATGAATAAATTTATTTCTGTTTATTGGTACTCTGTTCATTGATACTCTGTTTATTGGTACTCTGTTCATTGGTATTCTGTTCATTGGTACTTTATTCATTGGTACTTTATTCATTGGTACTCTGTTCGTTGGTATTCTGTTCATTGGTATTCTATTTATTGGTACTCTGTTTATTAGTACTCTGTTCATTGGTATTCTATTCATTGGTACTCTGTTCATTGGTACTTTATTCATTGGTACTCTGTTCATTGGTATTCTGTTCATTGGTATTCTATTTATTGGCACTCTGTTTATTGGTACTCTGTTCATTGGTATTCTATTCATTGGTACTCTGTTTATTAGTACTCTGCTCATTGGTACTCTATTCATTGATACTCTGTTCATTGGTACTTTATTCATTGGTACTCTGTTCGTTGGTATTCTGTTCATTGGTACTCTGTTCATTGGTATTCTATTCATTGGTACTCTGTTTATTAGTACTCTGCTCATTGGTACTCTATTCATTGATACTCTGTTCATTGGTACTTTATTTCTTGGTACTCTGTTCGTTGGTATTCTGTTCATTGGTATTCTATTTATTGGTACTCTGTTCATTGGTACTTTATTCATTAGTACTCTGTTCATTGGTACTCTATTCATTGGTACTCTATTCATTGCTACTCTGTTCATTGGTACTCTACTCATTAGTACTCTATTCATTGGTACCCCGAAAGTGTCAGAATATTTTCATATTTCTGAAACCTCGATCGTAAAAAATAAAACTAAGGAAAGTCCTCGATAAAAAAATAATTAAACATGATAATAAAGCGAATAACAATTTGTTGCGTCGGTGCCAAAAAACAAAAAAAAGTATGGCTAAAACGGAATGACAAGAAAGTCTCGTATATCATTTTCCAGAAGAGCACGGTAAAACCGGAAGAGAAACAAACACGGAATACTCCGTTGCAACGATGCACCGTTTCGTATACTAATTACAAAAGGAGATTGATTTACCCGTTCCCGTAACAGTGTTTTATCTATCACAATCCCGATGCAATTTCCGCGTTGTTTTCAGTAAACTGAGCAGCAACGAAAAGGCGAAGATAAACGACCAATTTGAAGGAAATTAATATTTGTATTTGTAACACCGTAAAAGCAAATTATTAGGTTGTATACGATATCACCGATTAGTCCAATTAGTTGCCCACTGACTTGATGAATCTACGAAACATCTAATTAAAAAGAAGATGAAATTTATAACACCGTTCTGAAATAAGCCGATGTAACATATATTTTAATTGGATAAAAGAGAATAAAAGAGAAAGCTTTTTCATGTTATAAATACAAGTGATACAATTTTTATATCGTTGATTCATGTTTAAGCGTTTCGATGGAAATAAAATTGTACTAGAACGTGACCGCGATTGGATTAATTAAACTTTAAAAAGTGGTTATTCGTATACTATTCGCTGTATTACCGAAACAGTATGGCTACTCTTATTCCATTAACCCGGACCTGTCCGAAGTTGTCTCCCGAGAGACAAATGTCGTTTTCACCATTGTCCAGGCTAGCTCGAAATTCCGAAATAAAGGGAAAAATTCCAGCATCGAATTCGGTTCGTACAAAAATTCCTACCCTGAGATTTTTCGTTTCGCAAATCCAGTGTCACTAATAACGAAATAGATAATCTAAAATGGAACAACAATTCGCTTTGGAGAGCACTTTACAAAGAGATAAGATAATGAACAAGAATTTTATTTTATTTAGATATATACATATAGTTATAACACTTGTGATCCACAAAGGAGGCATTAACGTAATTTTTATCAATAATTTTTTTAGTAAAAATTATTCGATGTTGTGTTAAAAGAATTAGAAGGTAAAATTTCATTGAAAAATATATCTACAAAAGCTACTAGTGCCTTTACAGATGCGATTAATTACGTTAAGGCAGAACAAAGTGTTTCAGAAAAGTATTCGCCATTCACTTGCGATTATACTCGCTGATCAGGAGTGAAGCATAATTCATAAGCAAAGTTCACGTTCATTCGATTGTTGATGTTCTCACGTCGTCCAAGCCCGCAAGTACAAGGGAGAGAAAGCGGTATATTCGTTCGGTATAATTCGCTGAAAATCACGCGAAAGGAAAAAAAGAAAATCCCGGAAGAAACGAGTAAGAACGACGGGATCGAAAGGTTTAAAATTGGAATCTGACCGTGGCCGGCAGAGAGTTAGCGACTGCAGAGATAATCCTTGAAGAGGAAACGGGAAGAGGGTGGATAGAAGAAAAGCAGAGGAGACGTCGTAAAAGCGGTTAAGGATGAAAATCAGGGATGTCGAAAAGGAGAGGAGAGCTTCTTCTTATATAGGCATTGCTTGTAGACTATGAGAACGTTCCCACTCCCACGACCGAAGTGCTCTTTTCCTTTTCCTGAGCCTCCTTTTCTTTCTATCTCAATTTGTCTGCCTTTTCTAGCCACCTACGGCTTTTTACCTGTGCACACCACCTTACTTCTGTAACGGGTGGTCTCGGAGTAAGCGAACCGTTATTTTTTATAGGAACAGGTTATCAAATTAATTTCAAAATATAATTTTGCACTAAAGACTCGCATTCACTATCCAGTTTAATACGACAATTTGAAAGAAATATTTTTTGATCGAATATATAGTATTATATATGTGGTGTATACAGATTGTGAGGACAATAAATAATAAAGAAATATTAATTTTAATTGAAGCAAACTTTTTGACTAAAACATTTCAAGGTTGACATCTGACAACAGCAAAAATATTCAGTACTTCTGTGAATTTTAAAATATAGACTTTTGTGAATTTTAAAATATAGCAACTGACAGAAATATTGTTTGCACTAAAACATTTTTAAAAAATGGACTGATATTATTAAATATCGGTAAAATATTTCACAAGTAAGTCATTAGTGAATAAATGAAATACTCTCAGTTTTGTGAATATGTATATGTGTGGTGAATATCTGTTGTTGATTACGAATATGGTCTAACAAGTGAAAATTCTAAAACTGTTCACTTGTTTCATCATATACATGAATGCTTTTGTAAATATTCGTAAACTGAATTGATAAAAAAATTAATTATTGTGACTCAAAAAAATTCAATGATGTAATTAGTGCAAGGTTGAATTCACAAACAATTTTGTTATAAATTTATAATAAAAAGTTTCATAATATTAATATTAAAGAAGTACATAAAAGTTAATATCTTATCATTGACGTATGTTAACAAAATTATCGGACATGAATTATTAGAATCATAAAATGGTTCTAAATAATAAATGTATCGATTGATTTTGTGAAGAAAAATCAAATATTTAGGTGCATATTTTCATCGAACTTTAACTATTATGCAATAAGCTCTATCTCTATCGTATCAGGTATTTTAAGTTTCGAAATCCTCCATTTCATATTCAACGTATTATAACCGATCTCGAGTTACTCAACAAGGTTTCACTATAGTAGGATATCTTGCCAAATAAAATTGTACAATCACGTAGGAATTCGGTGAAATGTGAATAAAAATAACGGGCGCTTAAATAGAAAGTATTATTAACGAGCGCGAAGGAATGAAAGGTCAAAAGTAATAGAAAAATTTTTACATCGAAAAAATCATAGCGTCGGTGTGTTAAAGGTCTTCCTCGTGATTTCATTGTTACGATTAATCGGCGCTGAACAGATCATTATAATATTGCTGCATCGCTAGTTTCTCAATAGGTCGTCGAAATGAGATCGAAATTTAAAATACGTATTAATCGGATAAACAAATTCTAATTGCATCACTGAATATAAAAATTCTGCAAAATATTTGTGTTTATTCATGTTGTGTACGTTCTTAAAATACTATAACCTAGGGGTGTGTTTGAACTGAGCGAACAAATACTCGTGTTTACTTCAACAAAAAACATTTCATTCTCCTACATCTTCATTTTCTGTACACTTTGTCGAGATCAAAGAAAAATGACTGTTTCTTCGATATAAACGTAAGAGATATTTCTTTCTCGAGATCAAAGAAAAATAACTGTTTCTTCGATATAAACATAGGAAATATTTCTTTGACATAAATTTAATAAACCCTAATATTACTATACAATGTTGCACTGAAATATTACTATACAATGTTGCAATGTAATATTACTATACAATGTAGCAATGTAATATTACTATACAAGGTTGCATTGTAATATTTTATACAATGTTGCACTGAAATAATACTATACAATGTTACAATGTAATATTACTATACAATGTGGCACTGTAATATTTTATACAATGTTGCACTGTAATATTACTATACAATGTTGCACTGAAATATTACTATATAATGTTGCACTGAAATATTACTATACAATGTTGCACTGTAATATTACTATAAAATTATGCAATGTAATATTACTACACAATGTTGCACTGTAATATTACAATATAAGGTTGTACTATAATATTACTATACAATGTTGCAATGTAATATTACTATACAATGTGGCACTGTAATATTAATATACAAGGTTGCACTGTAATATTTTACACAATGTTGCAATGTGATATTACTATACAATATTGCACTGTAATATTACTATACAATGTTGCAATGTAATATTACTATACAATGTAGCACTGTAATATTAATATACAATGTTGCACTGAAATATTGCTATACAATGTCGCAATGTAATATTACTATACAATATTGCACTCTAATATTTTATACAATGTTGCAATGTAATATTACTATACAATTTTGCACTATAATATTACTGCACAATGTTCCACTGTAATATTGCACTATATATATAGATATAATATTTTTGTTATATCAGTGATGTATTATTATCTAATTAATTCTAATTCATTCTAGTGTTTGTTTCGGTTCCGATTTTATTCGAGTGTTCAACATACTGTACACCGCAGATTTTAGCGTAGTGCTTATTGATTTCACCTGGTTCGTATTATAGCGGCAAATATCTCGTGGATTGCCGTAGGTCCCATATAAACGCAATCAATGTTAATTGAATTTCAAACTTTATATTCGGCAATTCCTCAATCAATCAGCTGTAATACCTCCAGAATGCTTACACGATCATAATTTAATTTATACGTTATCACATTGTTATTCGCTATTTATTCGTTTCACGCTATCAGTTATTTCTCATTATCTACTTATTTGTTCAATCTCCAATTAAAAGGATTATACAAAACGGCAATCCTTTCGACAGTATCGGTGAAGAGCGCATTTCCATTAAGCGCCAAATTTAATAACCTAAAATAACCGAGAAGCAATATCACGTAAAGTTTCGATTGCATGCTTTTGATAACGTGTTTCCAACGGGAATCGTTCAAATAAGATTTATAGTATTTCTAAATTTGAAATTTTTAAGCTTAAAACTATAAAAAACTCTGAATTGGAAAACTAAAAAATAAGGCTGAAATTTGTGAGTTTGAACATTGAAAAATATCTAAGTCTGCAATTTGTAAGTTTGAAAATTGAAAAATATCTGTCTGAAATTTGTTAGCTTGAAAATTAAAAAATATCCAAATTCAGAATTGTAAATTTGTAAATTAAAAATGTGTTTCTACAAATATCCACCGAAACTTGTTAATAAATTAAAAAATTTAAGGACTCTAAATGTAAAAATTTAATTTCGTATTTGTGATACACCCTATACACGAACACGTTTTGCATTAAACGGCAGCGATGGTGTATAATAAAGCAATTAAATAAGGGGACCAGACAACGAAGTTGGCAAAAGCTCAATAATATTTGCCACCGCGTGTTGCCAAAATGGTCTAAATAGTAATCTTCTAATACCGTTCCGGTGCTACTTAATTAATATGGATTCGTAGGTTCCGCAATGATCGAAACCAATTACCAACAACGTGTTCCAGTTAAACGGTTTGGAATTGCAACACAATGGGATTCTGTGTCGAATTTGACGTTATGTATATTGGTTCCTCCATGAAATTGAGTGGTTATAGAATGACAAATAATACGGATTAACTAGAATCGTTTGATACAATGTCCCATCGATTTCGACTAACTTGCACAATTTAGACCGAATGGAAACTTACAGAAAATCGATATGTTTCGGTACGTTCGTGTAGGTTGTATACTTGCTAATCGATACTAATACCAAATTAATGGATACAGCGTTATTTACAGAACTTCAAACACGTTGCCCGGTACTGTTCACGTACCGCTTGAAATTATACATAATTAACTTCCAACGGTTTCGGAGTTACGATTGGTTACGGCTCGAATTACTCTGCCCAACACCTGCCTTTATTCGACACGTTCACATAAATATCGAATTTAATTAAAAAGATAATTGCAACGATATAATTCGACATAATTTAATACAGGTTCTGATAACGAAGTTGAACATTTCAAAGACAATTTATATTTTCACACACACAGATGTTTTTGTAAGAACAAGAACATAAAACATTTTATTAACTCGTTTAATACAACATTATACATGTTATAAATTTGTGTGTCAAATACATATTGCGAATTTGTATGTCAAATACTTTCATAAGATTGAAACAGAAAATAATTTTGAAAAGCAGAATTGAAGTGTCTACCGAATATTTTGTTTAGTGCAACCTTACTACAAGCAACCCTCTTGGTCAACGAGTTAATAAAATTTCCCTGCGGTGAAATAAAAATTAGGTAGTCAACTTAATGACTATCAATATATTAATAATACTAATTGGTCTTCAGACAGTAATATATTTATTTCAGTTGCCATATGAGTGTGAGAAGGTGAGTTATGAGCCAGCTTCGAATGCAGCTTTTTGGCAGTTCCATTGAAAAGAGTAGTTAAAATACGTACCCGTCCAACGAAGAACCGCCTGTAGCATTTGGCCGTATCGTCCTGATCTATCCTGGGTTGCCAGGCAGGCTGTGCCGGAAGTAACGCCCTGCCAGCTGAGTCCAGGGCGTGTTGATGATCGGTACCGTCGACCCAGTATCCAGGCGGTATCACCACCAGAGGTGGCTGAGATCCGGAAGTGGCTTGCTGAAGCGCAGCCTCCATGAGAGCCCTGCCAACGGGTGCATCTCCAACCGGCGACGGGGACGGTGTAGGTGTGTGATTATTCTGATTACCAGGACTCGACGCTGCTCTGTCCTCCCTCGGGGTCTGTAATCACGACAGGTCACTTCGATATTAACTATATATTTGCACACTTTGTCGCTTTAGATACTCTTCTCACGAATTAAATTCATAAATGGAGGTAATGATAAACTACTTTTAGAGACAAATTAAATTAGGGGTAATTATCCACTATTGAGGTGAAGTCTTATGACATCATATTTGGATAATTTTCAGTTTGTAGCAGTTATGGTTAGAATGAGGTTGTTTCTGAATTATCATATTTGGATGATCTTGAATTATTGCAGTAACAGCTCTTGGTTAGAATGAAATTATTTTCAAGTTACATTTGGACAATCTTGAATTGTAGCAGTTACAGTTATTGGTTAGAATGAAAAGTTACTTCCGAATCTCAAATATTTTTTAATTGTCCAATTGTACAAATTGTCCAAAAACTCTTTAACTGTCCCACATGCAAATTGCCCAAATATTTGTTACTTTCAAATTGTCCAAATTTGCACATTCTCAAATTGTCTAAGTCTCCAACTTAAACTGCCATACTACCAAATTTCAAAATATTTAAATCATCAAATATCTAGCATAAAATAACTTTTAAAGTAGCAATGAATTAAATAAAAATTTGTCGCAGAAGTAATTGAATTTCAAACAAGTTTGATCTCCGTGATCGATCTCTGCGTTTATCTCCGCTCGAAAGTGGATAAGTACGTTTCACGTAAAATGGGTAATAGATCTCTAGAAATTCATGATGAGATTCATGACCCAGATATGAGTGACACAGAAGTCAAAGTGTTAAAGAGTTTTCCGGAATTTTAAATTGACACCTTTGAGAGATGCAGTAGTTCCCTCGGGTTTCAAGAGACCCATCATGATTTTAACATCCTCCTGTCGAGGATTGCGCTAAAAGCGAAGGTAAATAGAGAAGATGAAAATTTTAACACGTTTTATTGGCGAAATCGAGCTTCAAAGAAGTGGTTATTACATGAAATAGAATTATTTCGATAGAGGACTTTTCTGGAAAGTAAAATTTACTCTTTGTGCACGAAATATATATCAAGCTTAAAAAGATGCATTTTCTGTGACAGAAATAGTGAATAAATTTTTTGGCAAAATAGCTATAACTGTTACTTGACCATGTATAAAAAATCAAATTTATTGACAAACAGTTGTCAACAAAAAAATAAAAGTTTTGTAACATAAACATTATTTTGAGGATTTTCACTTTATAAAAATTACTGGACATTCGATAATGAATAATTTGTCTACTTGATACATGTAACTTTGAAAATAAATTGTAATCATTCTAAAAGTACCTAAAATATTTTATAAAGTACAGATGGTAGTGCTCAAAAGTTATAATACTATGTTAGATGAAATAGAAGAGCACATAACAGAGATGTGACGCACGTATTATATGAAAAATAAACGAAAGGTTGGCTTATGTCACTTACGGTGTCCCATGCGGTAAGAAGTTAACCGAGTTATTTATGTGGGTGGCTGATGTAAAGTTTAATTTATAAAATTGCTCGACTTCTTTAGAAAAACTGGCAGATTTACTTTTGCTTCATATTTTCTTTTCAAAGAAGTTTTCGTGTCGACAAGCTATAAATTATCATGAAGCTGATGGGGAGAAAAATGTAGTCTCTAAGAGAATGGGAAGAATGAAGAAATGTGTGATCATAGTTTACAGGTGATTTTTGGGAAAACAAAAATAAAAGAATGTTTAGTGAAAGAGAAACATCGTAATTTATAAAAAAAATTAAATTATCGTTGTGAGAAATGTTAAAATAAACATTTCTCTGTGTAATTAATATAAAATTGTATTAGTATATTTTTTATAATTAATAATTTATAGTATTTATTAAAATTTAATAGAGCGGAGAAAAGCGGATATTAAAAATTATTAGAGTGGTTATTAAAAATTGTACAGGAAGTAGGATAATCCTTCCATTTGAAATCCTATTAAATATCATGTTATTAATATACATGTATATATTCAATTTATCCTACCAGTTCAAGTACACATTTTTTAATACCATTAATATTTATATTAAGTAGATATTAATATCTTCAAATATATTAATAATCATTTTATTCCCGATTAAATTAAATTACAGAAATAACGGCGTTGCGTGTTCTATCAACTCCGAAACGACAAATTAAAATTTTAGATCGTAACGTTCATTTCATGTAATTACGCATTTAAAATTTAGGTCAATATTAAATATGGATATAACGCGTTTGAATTATATCCGTGAAATGAATATATAATTAAATAAATCAAGGGGCAATTACGTACAGGGGAATCAATATTAACACAAAATTAAATGTCGAATAAAATAATGTAGAGATTCATAGGGGGTGGAAGATTTAAATTTTCGAACTGACGACATATTATTTCATAAAAATTATAAATAACTTAAGTTTGTATTAATTAAACTTTTATTTTAGGAAGATAGAACGTAATATAAAAAACATTCGACTAAACAAAAATAATTTTATTTAAGAAACAGAGAGTTTATATAAACTAGTCAAGGAATTATTACAAATATACGTACCACAAATCATAAACTTGAACACTAATAATAATTTTCAGTTTTCAGAGTAGCTACTATCAATTACCTTCACAGTCAAATAAAAGCCTTAACGCGACAGAGCACGAACATTCGTTTCTGACGAGCAAATTAGAGCTTGACCATTTACGAAAATGTCGCTGAAGACATTTCCAACGGGTAATAGAACTTCACAGGTGCGCTCCGTAAAAGGTTAGACCATTCTACCATTTCTGGCTAGCTATCGTCTTATTGCGGGTACTTTCAGGTCGTGAAGGCTAGTACGACTATTTATTTCACGAAAATACTCCTTCTTTCAACATTTAACCTTTTCTTGAATAAAATACTTATTTCTCAAATATTCTTATTACTTTACTATTATATCAAATATTAACTTGTATAAATTATAAATCTTAATTTATATGAATTTTAAATCTTAATTTATTAAAATTATAAATCTTAAGAAAATAACATTAATATACAAAAGAAATAAACAGATATACATTATAGTATCTACGAAACGTGTATTTAGTAAATATTGCTTTTCTTTCTTCTATTTAGTAAATATTTCCTTAATTTTATCTAAAATTAGGAAAAACGTTTAAAGATAGTCAACATATAATTTACAATTATTGATTGAAATATGAAAGTACGTTAAAGGTGACCACGTAAATCATATTCCGGGCAGGTGCAAAGTGGGGCACAATGATAAAATACGATTACTGCATCTTATTGTAATTGCTGATTCAAATGATTTAAATTTCAAAACAACTCTGTTTTCTTCGTTCAGTTTAACAGCAGATCGATATCTATTCCAGGGTATCGCAAGGTTTCATACACGCAACATTTCCTTGGAAAGTTTTCTGACTTCTTATTCAAAACTTAAAAGTAACACCGAATAAACTCCGAAAATAGCTAATTTAACGAATCAAATATTTTCATCATAAATTGTCATCGAACCTCAATAAACAGATACAATTTGATGATTCAAAAATTTGATTATTTGATGATTAAAATTATTAGGGGTACCGAAAAGTAATCAAATTTTTGTTTGCTGGCGAAAAATATTTATTTATTAAAGAAATCTTAAATCAACAAAATAATTTCCATCACTTTCTAATGCTTTGCCAGCGTAAAGGCAATTGTTCCCTTCTTAAAAAAAGTCCTTCAATTCTTCATAGAAAAATTTTGAAATCATCGAAGAAATTTTGAATACTTCTCGGTACCCCTAATAATTTTCCGCGTGACTGTTTTTAATAGAACATTTTCGTATACATTCAGAGACGCGGTAAATGTTCGACAAAATCGAAATTTCTATCGGTCGGAAGCAGAACAAGGACATATTCGATATCGTTGCAATGAAAACGGCGTGCACCGTGTATACACGCCGGCAAACGCTAATAATAGGAGCATATGGTGTTGCGGCAGGTGGTACTATAATGTGAACGATTGCTCGTGAATATCGCTACTGGCGGGATATCGAACAGGTAATCAGTTATTTCAGTTTCCAGCTGGTTCCTCACAATGGTGCCAGCTTTTTCTCGTCAAAAACATTTCGTAAGCGAAAGGAACGACATCGTGTATTCTTGAACATTTGGTATGCTGCTTTTCATCTCTTCTGTGTTCACACTTCGTCGAAGGATAACACACTTTATAGTCATAATAATTTTATAAATTCTGCTTCATTTTATTTACTATTACTTATACAAATAGAAGGGGAAGTTTTACACAAAATAGATATATTTATAGAAATTTGCAACGATGGTATATTTAGGTAGATAGTATATTTACATTATGTAAATAGTCACAATATTTGTATTGAATGATACAGTTTTTAAGTCATATTGAGATAGACAGTATAAATAGTTCAAATAGTATATTTGCATTTCGTAAACAGTCACAATATTCGTATTGTATGATGCAGTTTTTAAATCACGCTATATTTTTACAACGAATAGAGTTTAACAAGAATACAATTCAAGAGTTTGAATTAAGAAGTGAATTTTCAAACCATTCATTCTTCTAACAATAACTGAATTTTCAAATTATTTTCCACTAACATCTACCGATGTGTTATTAGTCCGCTCTGTAGCCACCCGTTCTAAAAGATCAAACACATTTCAGTTTCTTTTTACAAAGCATTCTTATGTCTCATAATTATCGACGAAATACTAAATCGCGGTTCAAACGGGGCGATCAGATTATTCAGACGTGTATTAACGGCAATGTAATTTCGTTACGCATAATTGGAAATGGGACAAATGACAGCAGATTCAAAGTGTTCGGCTTGTTAAAATGTCGCACAGGAACAAGCGTCGACTGTTTAATTAACGGGAGCAAATGTGCTTCCGGCTCGTTCTTGAATAGTCGTTCAATTATTTATTCGCTACATACACTTTGTTCCATAGCATATTGCATTCGAAAGGAAAATTACGAAATGTTTATGTTAGTTACTCAATTGTGCTTTACCGTGATATT